GAAGGCGGGGCAGCTGGGGCGGCGGTGGAAGCCCGGAGAGGGCCCGAGGGTGTGCGACGCGGGGAGGCGAGGGCCTGCAGGGGAACACTGGGGACCTGGACGGCGACTGGCATCTCGGACCGCCAATCACTAGGGACCGGGGGCGGGGACCCGTGCGCGTATGGTGCGTCCCGCAGGCCGCGGCGAAGGACTGGAGGGCGTAGCCCAGAACGTAGCGCGGATTGGCTACGACGCCCAGACTAGCGGGCGCGGTAGCCAATGGCGGGGCGCAGAAGGGGCGGGCGCGCAGACCTCAGGCTGTGCCACCCGCAGCGGGACCACCCCACCGCGTAGGGGGGTCCAGCATCCCCGCCGCTGCCCTGCGAACGACCCGTGGAGGTGGACGCGCAGCCCTAGACGAACACTCTGCCCGAGGCCGCACCTGCAAAGTGGATTTCTGGAAGGGTCTGACCCCGTGGAGTCCGAGCCCTCACCACGGCGGCGTATTAACGCCCTTACCGGCCGCCACCCCTCTTAGGCTTGTTGCACACTCACGCAGTCTAACCCCAAACCCATGAGGTCAAGTCCATCATTGGCCCTGCTGTAGGCCAAAGGCTTAGAAAGGTCAAACGCCATTCCCCGGAGTCACACTGGACGCCCTCGGCCGCACCTGGCAGTGAACCCAGCACACCTGCCTTTTGGAAGGGACAAGGCCTTGTCAGAGCAACCAGGTGGGAATCCCTTGGCAGCCCATGATCTTTGCGCAGTGTGGCCTTGGGCAGCTTAAGCTCCTCCTCCATCTCCATCTCCCCACTCTGGGCAGTTCCCAGGGAATTTATATACCCCAGACTGGTGGTGACCTGCTGGTTGGAGCATTGGACCCTGGCCTGAGAAGGGGTCACTTAGGGACACCTTCAGCCCAGGGCTCAGCCAGGCAGTTGCACTCCCCCGCCGCCCCCCTCCCCAACTCTGACTCACCAAGGACACTCCCTTAAGCTCCTCTGTGGAGAGGGTTACCAATGTTCCCAGATAGGAGCAGCTCTTATTTCTAGCGTGTGCGACAGGGCTGGTGGAGATCAAGTTCTGAGGCAGGGAACCCTGGGAGGGAGCAGGGCGGAGCTGTAGGGCAAGTTCCCACCTTGGGGGCTAGGCGAGCCCTGGCTGAGGGTCCTGTTCACCTGTCTCACAGGTCTGTGTGGCTGGGGAGACCGAGCCTCTGGCATTAGCAATCCTGACTCCTGGTATTCCCGCTGGCTTCCTCTCCTATGTCCCCAGTTTCTCCCTGCTTCCTAGAGATAACAGACTACTGTCAGTGGCTGCCCAGGGGTTGTCCTTCCAGCCTTGGAAGAGGGGAATGGGGAGAAGCTGGCACCTTGTTAAATCATGGGATGTTTCCCAGCACCACCTCCAAGCTTGACTTCAGGGTTGGGGGTGTGGTAGACCCACTTTTCCCTTCGGCCGAGGAAACCAAAGTTTCGTGAGGAAGGTCCCAGGGCTGGGTTTGAGCATCTGCTCTTTTAAACTTTCTGGCCATGTGACCTTCAGCGGGTGATTCGAACTCTTGCCTGTTTCCCCAGCGACCTCCCAGGATGCATAGGGCACTGGAGAGATGAGCAGAAGGTAAAGGCCGAGACCGGACTGGCCCACAGAGCACCTGGAATAGTGGTGAAGGATATTCTTCCTCTCTATTCTGCACCTCAGCTGTCCTCTCTGTGAGCTGCACCTCCAGGAATGAGGAGACTGATCAGCTCTTAGGAGGCTTATCTTTGCACTGGAGGTAGCCTTTCTCGTGCCCACTGCCAGCCCGAGAACAGCCAGCTCCCAGCAGGCCTCATGGTACTCAGGAGCAATGCCAACTGAGGCAGGGGTCAGGCAGTGGCCCAGCATGGCTGCCTCTGCCAATGGGGTTAGCACAGAACCTGGCAGGCAGTGTCCCTTGACAACAATAGTAACCCTCCCCTCCTCAGCTGAGCTGGGCCAGGCGAAGGACCCCAGGGGTCATCTGAGGGAATGCTGTGGGCTGGCCTGGGGGCTTGGTCACCCAGACAGGTGGGGCCACCGAGGTTGAGTCCAGCCCGGGGGGGAAATGGCAGGGACCAGTCCTAACTGGGGCTTACCAACACTGCCCAAGAGGAGAGGTGTGTCAGTGTTCAGCACTACTGAGTGGCAGCGGCCTGGCTGGACTGCAAGTCCCGTCTTCATCCATTTCCCTCTCAACCCCAGGGAGACCAGCTGCCGCCCTTGGCCCTCCTGAGCCAGGCCCTTCAGGAAAGGGCAGAGGGGAGGCCTGAGGCTCCTGAGGGTGGAGGTGAGAGGTGTAGATCAGATCCCTGGCTGCAGGCAGTGTGGGAATCTGAACTGATAGCCCACCACTGACACACCCATTTCCTCAGGCTAAGGTGGGAGGTTGATAAGCTAGCCTCCCTTCCTGGAGGAGCCTGGGGCCCCAGGAGCCTGCAGACCAGGAGCCAGGGGGAGGGCTGGCCAGAAGCTGTCCTACCCACCCTGGGCTGGGTTGTTTAGTCCAAGGTGCTCAGAAAATGCCTTTGGTAAGCATGGGGAAGCACTTGAACTCTCCCCTACTGGGCTCACAGGCCACAGGAAGGGGGGCAGTGGTCCCGCCCTTTCTCCTGTCCCCAGGAAAGAAGAGTCATCTCAGCTGGGGTCATGGTCCAAGGACACATGGCGAACTGTGCTGAGAGCTTAGGAGGGAGCAGGTGACCAGGGCCTTGGGTGAGTGGGGGCAGGGTGCCCTAGGCTCTGGGGCAGTGAGGCAGAGCCACCAGTGTGGCAACTCACACTGGTTAGTGTTATGAGGTCTGCCGGTATATTCCCTAACATCACAGAGGGAATCTGGAAAGCTGGTATTCCACAGTAGGAAAGCCTCCACTTTGGTAAGTTAGAGGTGAAGTCCAGGTACATGATCCTGCTTTCAATGTCATTCCCACAGATTCCCCCCTAACAGCTCTGCTGCCTTAAAGTGCGCGCATGGTGGATCACTTCTCCCTACAGAAGCAGACATTATCCTTTTGCTCTCTTCCCGCGGTGACGCCCAACCCCTCACCTCTGACGCAGTATTACCGTTGGTTTCCTCACCTGTGAGCGCAGGGACCTTAATGTAGATACTACCCACCTTGTGATGTATGTAACCACTGAATCTCCATGTCTTAAGCTTACTTATAAAGATCCCACGATAATTCAGGTTGTCCTACGCGCTCAGTTCCGAGTGGTCCATCAAGAGGAGCTAGGGGAGCATGCCACCATAACATGTGTCTGACTCCTTTCATGTTACTCTCCCTTTATCTTTCTCATCCTCTGTAACTTCACTACAATCTGTAGATATCACTGCCGTACATTTGCATCCGGAGGCCCTTCCGCTGTTGGAGGCTGGTTCCGACGACACACCAGGGGCAGGAGTGAAGGAGGGTCGGAGGGAGAAGTCAGGCGAGGTGAGCCAGGCTTGTGGGCACAAGCTACCAGTCAAGGGGAGTATGGGGAGTTTAAGGGCAGGGCTGGGGCACAGCTGTGGGGGTGGGCAGGGGGTGAAAAGAATTATAGGGCGGTCCCTCAGACCTCCATGGAATTGGTTCTACAGCCTCCCATATGACACAAAGAGGCTTAGCATGACCTGAGCATAAAGGTCCACCTGGCCTCAAGCCTCAGCAAGTGGGGGTGGGGCTGTGTGTGTGTGTGTGTGTGTTACATTGAACAGGGGAGTTACTGGGGGTCCCCAGAGGGTTACAATCCCTACCTCCATAGAAAGATGTCCTTATATTGTGATGAATTTTATGAGCCCCAATAAATTGATTTATATATAAAAAAAAGAAAGATGTCCTTATTGGTTTCCATGGAGACCAGGCATCTCCTTGGAAAGAACTAGAGCAGGGGTACTCAACCTTCCTCATGCCGCGACCCTTTCATACAGTTGCTCATGTTGTGGTGACCCCCCC